GCCAGGATACAAATGCTGGTTCTGTCACTTGCTAGCCTGTCACTTCAGGCACATTATCACTTAAGCCTCAGAGTGTAACCTTCAAACAAGATTAACAATGATATCCACCTCAGAGGATCATTGTGGGCATTAAATGAAACGCTGCATGTGAAATAGCTGAGCACAGTACTGGCAAATACCTGGTGCCCACTATAAGTGCTATCTATATTTTTAAATGAACCTTCTCTTTAACTAGATTAGAAGTTCATCTAGAACAAACCCTTCATCATATACTTTTTAAACTTCTGGTGTACACCATAAATACATAGGCATTTAAATGTGATGATGATAATATACAAATTAGTAAGATTTGCTTTTTATCACAAAATCCATGTTTTTATTACTGATGGTCATTATATTATCTAGTTACACTGGTAGACTATTTCCTTTTGTGCCAAATAATTGAAAAAGAGAATTAGGTAATCTCTAAGCTTATCTAGGTAAGTGATTAAAATGCCTTAAGGAAGTGTTCCTTCTCAGTATAAAAGCACTAAACGTTCCACTGAAGACAAACTAATGTTTTTGAAATCTAATGCAATCAGCGAGTCACTTAAGAGTTACTTACTTACTCTAGAGACAGACACGGCCAGTTTTCAGAAAATAGGAAAAGGAAAAACAAGACAGAATATCACATTAGGAAGCCTCGTACACAGGTTCCAAGCCCATGTTACATTTTCCAAACACGAACACCTTTCCTTCCTAGTTATCTGTCTTCAAACCACTATGTCCTGTCTCATAAGTAAAACTCCTAAACATGGAAATTAGGCCTTAAGCACACACAACGTAGAATGCATGAGCTCCTAAACAAGTTTATATGTTCAAGACAGCCACTGAAGATATTCTGAACAGAAAACCAAACAAAAACAAAAGGCAGCCTTACCAATAATGGCATTGTTTCCTCCAAGTTCTAACAAACTTCTCCCTTTAAAAACACACAAACACAAAATAGTGCCTCTTTTAGTACTTAATGCATACTGCTAGATGGTCTCAAATCATAGCCTATCCAAAGTACGCTTTTTTTTTTCTGATTAAAACACACTTAATGTGTTTTAGCATTACAATGTCAAATTTCCTGATTTTAATAATTATACCATGGTTACAAGACAAATTGTATTTGTTCTTAGGAAATACACTGAAATATTTAGTGATAAAGTAACACAATACCTTTGACTTTCTCCAAATGGTTCAAAAATAATATGCGACCACAATATGTGTGTGTTATGTTGCTGGAGAGAGAGAAAATGATAAAGCCAATGGACAAAATAAGCAACTGGTGAATTTGGTTAAAGGGTATGGTGTCCTGGAATTACCTGTGTGTTTTCTAACTTTTCTGTAAGTTTGAAATTATGCCCCCCAAAACCCAAAGAGTTACTATAAAATGGTATGGCCACTATGGAAAAGTGTATGGCCATTTCCCAAGAAATTAAACACAGAAATACCATATGATCAATCTAGCAATTCCACTTCTGGGTAGATAACCAAAAGAAGTAACAGTAGGGACTTGAATCAATATTTGCACATCCATGTTCATAGCAGCATCTTTCACGACAGCAAAATAGTGGAAGCAACCCAAGTGTCCACGAAGGGATGAATGGGCACACAAAATGAGGTATATGCATAAAATGAAAAATTATTCAACCTTGAAAAGGATAGAAATTCTGACACACGCTACAACATGGATGTACCTTGAAGACATTACATTAGTGAAATAAGCCAGTCACCAAAAAAACAAATATTGCATCTGTTCTAGTTATAGGAGGTTCCTGGAGTAGTCGTATCTGTAGACAGAAAGTAGAATAGTGGTTGCCAAGGGCTAGGGGAAGGCAGAAATGGGGAATTCGTTTTTAACGAGTACAGAGATTCAGTTGGGAAGCCAAAAACTGGTTCTGGAGATGGATGATGGTGTTGGTTGCACAACGATGTACATATACTTAATGCCATCGAAGGCACACTTAAAAATGGTTAAAATGGTAAATTTTATGTTATATATATTTTACCATTACACTCATTGTAGAAAATTATTTTTTTTTAAAGAGCAAAAAGCATCAAGCAGGCAAAAAGCTATGGTCCATAGGTGACCATGAAATCTCTCTTTATAATTTAGTAGAGTGCCTTCCAGTCTTTTTCCTGTGCATTTATATTTAGTTGAGATCATATTAGCTAATTCATTTTGCTTTTTTTCTGATTAAAATCTTATACTTTACCCCTAAATATTAGGAGCTGTTTAAAAAATATCACTGCACAGTATTCCATCATGATGATGTACCAAATTTTATTTAGCTACTTCTCTAGTGTTGAATATATTGATTGTTGATTAACTACTGCTTATCTACTCGGGTCAGGGCCAAAGGGTATGACTATTATGGCCGCTATATATACTAACAACTCCCAAAGTTATTTAGAGGGAAAATGACATCCTTTTCCAAATTATGCTATTTATATTTGTGATCTCCCTACTATTAACCCTCTAGTAACTATACTTTTTCTCATTTACTTGTACTTTCAAATAAACATGGATAATGTCTCCATGAAAAGAATCAGGAAAAAAACCCAACTTTCAGATTTCGCATTATACCCGAGGAAACTAAAATCCTCATGAGAAAGCCAACACTTACCAAATCTCTCCTGCACCATAAGGGCCACCTGTTTTCCCACCTGAGTGCTCCCAGTAAAGGACAGCAGGTTCACCCGTTCATCTTTGGCCATTGCTGTGCTGCAGGGGGACAGACATAGTCACCCAAGCACAGAAACCCAGCTACGACAGCACGAATGGTATCCTGGCATGGGCCCTTGGAAAGGCAGTCAGTCAAAGATATGAGAAAGTCTTTCCCAAGGAATCAAGGGAAAGTCTGCATGAAAATGAACTAGATTTTCACAAGTAGAACCACACAGCAGAATAGGCTAACATGTTCTGTGAGCTCTCCATCAACTTAAATCACCTCAAGGACATCATTAGTTAAGGAAGAAAGTCCTTCCTATACTGAGTAGGTGACTGCACAATACAACCTTTACATTGCCTTGATGAGCATCCCAGTTATTTTGCAGGCTCTTCAACTACTAATTTCTCTAAGAATTAAAAATCTAAAGACTACAGGGAAACATCCTAAGTATTCCACGTGGAAACTAACATATAAAGGCTGTGCTAGAATTTCCAGTAGCTTCTAGGGAGAGCAGACTAGACATTATTGACTGGAACTTCTTTGTTCATAGTTCAGTGCTTCAAAGGGCTTAGTGTGGGCCAAGTGGGACTGCCACGGCAACAGACTAATGTAGGGCAGGAATAGCTTGATGAATCCACCCACGTAGGCCTCCCCAGCTTCAACTCAGCAAACATGAGCACTGATACCCAAAGCAGCTTTTCCTTAATGCACACCTGTACACTAATGCGACTATCTGAACCACTCCAATGCTGGGACTGGAAGAACAGAGTTGGTCGAAGGATAGAATACTCATGTTTTAAATGACATTTAACTAATTCTTCACTATGCACACTATACGTGGGAGACTAACGTTTTAACCACACCAGTATGGGTTATAAGACTTGATCCTTATGAAACCTCACCTAATCAACGTCTAAGCCGGTAATAACCTTTCATCACAGTTCAGAGCAATTATAAAGTCAGTTCCAGCTTAAAAAGAGGCTGTGATATTATGCTAAGTGAAAGAAGTCAAACATAAAAGGCTACATGTAGCATGATTCCATTTCTATGAAATGTCCCAAACAGGCAAATTCATAGAGACAGAAAGTAGATTACTGGTTGCTAGGGGAAGGAGGGATGGGAAGTAACTGCTAATAGTTAGGAGGTTCCTTTTGGTACTGCTCCCCCCCACCCAAATGTTCTGGAATAAGAGAATTGTGATGGTTGTATAACATTGTGAATATTCTAAAAACCACTAAATTGTACATTTTTAAAGAGAGAATGTTACGGTATGTGAATTATATGACGGTTTTTAAAAAACAATAAATTTAAATAAAGCGACTATATCCCCAGGGTTTTCTTTTTTGGTCACCCAGACAATAAGTGAGGTTGTAGGTTCTGATGAGACACCAGATTACTACTCCACGGCTTTGCTTTGTAAGTAAGCATCTTTATAAATCCAGTGTCAGGAAGCCCACCATTACAGCAGTTAGGATATAAACACCTTACAATAGTAGTTCTGGACAATTAAAAAGTCGATTCTTACTCATCCTCCAACAGAGGCTATGTAATGGACTGCCCACCATTACAGCAGTTAGGATATAAACACCTTACAATAGTAGTTCTGGACAATTAAAAAGTCGATTCTTACTCATCCTCCAACAGAGGCTATGTGTTAATAAAGCCAGTGGGGTCCATAATAATGATGATTCCAAAAAACCATTCTCACTTCAGCTGTACTGGGTTTAGTTATTCTCCAATATCTGCTCCACCACAAGTCAAGGAACAAATAGCACCAGGCAGCTTGTTGTCCTCCAAAACCTTGGCTATTATCCTAGAAAATAAAAGGCAATTACTACTAAGTAGAGGAGCAATTTAATTTCTTAGGATTTTTTTTAAAAACTAAGACTTTTTTTAAAAACCTGACTTTCCTTTCTCAATTCTCTCTCCCACCCCTCAAACATCTAGGCCTGGGGTTCTCCTCATGTAATAGAGATGAGGTTTTCAAACCCTTAAAAGCAGAACTTTTTTCCCCTAAAAGAATCTTAAAAATAAAAATAAAATAAAAAAAAAAAAGCATGCAAAATAAATAAAAGACATAAAACATTGGTCAGGTAGTTCAAGTGATCCCTTGTTTTCAAGTATTTTCTGCCAAACGATGAACATATCTGATTTCAAGACGGTAGACTGATCATAGGGCATTTTTTGTTTTTTTGGTCTCTCACTACAAATTCATTAAAATGATGGTAAAGAAATAAAAAAAGGAATAAGGAATAAAACCTAGAAAGGGAAAAATGAAAGGGTGTTCCCATCAGCAAATCAGAGGTTTCAATACATCTCTGCAAAGCAGAGGCAGCCAGAGAAGTGGTACAGGATGAAAAGGGAAAAAGGACCCCAAAACTTAGAACAGGTGCTGAGGAGATACAGCAGAGGGAGCTGGACCTGCCCGCAAAGCCCTGCAGAAGTTCAGGAGCACACCAAGCCTTTCAGTCAGGAGAATTCGGCACCTTTCAAGCTAAAGGACTGTGGATAAGCCAGTTTTTTCTTAATTAGTCTCCTACAACTTATGCTGTTAGAGCCAAAATAATAAATGCAGTTCAATGCTAGTTAAATCTGATTTTGAGTTATAAAAAATGGCTCCAGTTTCTCAGAAACAGGGTCCTTCCTTTCATTCTGAGCTTCCTGAGGAGCACAAGCCTAAAGAAAATAAAGGTCTCTCTTTGATCAATGATCCCAACTTGCTGGATACTTTCTAACTTGTTTAAATTTCAAAAAGATCCGAATCCTACACTCACGTAAAAGAGACACCATTGCCATGTGTTAAGTAAATTCTCCAAGTGTCCCCAAAAATGTCCTTTATAGCAGGTTTTTTCCCCCCTAACTGAAGATTATGTACTGCAGTAGTCATGTCTGAGACCAGGTGTCAGGTCGCATAGTTCCTTCCAGGAACTTGTGGTATACACACCCTGTCTACACAAGTGGGCTGACGGCTCCTGAAAGGTAGGGATTTTGCTTTGTACCTGTAGGTAAAGGTTAACAAAACCCTTTTCCCCTAATGTGAGAGAATCTGAACTTAAGTTAACTCTTTAGTTTTGTTCCCCAGGTTACCTGATAAATATCAATGTCAGCAATGCCACACAGACAATGTGGCTTATGATAAAAATGACTCCTGACTGGTCAACTGCATCTGGACTGGGATAACTACCCAAGAGCTAGAAACAGGAACCTCATACTTTTTGGCCTTCCCTGAGTGCAGTGGCTCCTGTAACTGCGTGTCCCTTGTGGGTAGCTAGAAGCTCTACCTATAAAATTGTTACAAGACATTTTGGCTCCTGTGGAGCATTAGGCTTTTCAACCAGGGCGACCTCCACACTGTGCACTATAGATCTTATCTCCTCAGCCCTACAGACACAGATCGAAGAGGAATGCCTGAAGCTATCCTCCTGGCAAACTACGTCCTTGTCCTCTGTCCTTCTGAATAGACAGAGGTATGATATGTGGCCTGTGGTCCTCTTATGAGGCCGAACAATCAGCTGAATTTAAGAACTCCCAGTAGATACGGCAGCACCCTTGTTTAATCCTGGCAAAATTTAGCATTATTTGACTTGTCTTCCATTACAAAATCTTATAATATTCTCAATTATCTAAAATATCAGCCATGTTCCTCTATGAACATTTCAAACCCTTCAAACTGTTTAAAGTAATATAAAAAAGCTCAAAGCAACAATAACTTTGATATTGAAATTAATAGCAAAATTAATAGTATTTAAATCAATCACTTAACAATTGGTAAGCCAGTTTACTATGACCACATTAATTGTTATTGTTGTTGTTTTTAATTTTAAGAAAATTGCCTGGGGAATCATCATTTTTATATGTTTTGTATATCAGAGTTCTATGTAATATTTAATTCGAACACGTCAGCTTGAAGGAGATATTTTCCTCAATATCATGTATTCCTTTCAAGTAAATACTAAAGAACACTACTCTATTTTTCGGCCCATCTTTCAATTCCTAAACCAGTGTCCCTAAATGACCTGACATTAAGGACCCTCTTACATATAGACTCCACCACATGCTCTCTACCAACACTTAAATGAGAGAATACAAATGATGGGACCAGCAGAGCACGAAGGATGCATCACTGCCCTGCATGGGGACACATTCTCTTGTATAGATTCTCTAAATTCTAGAATGATACATTAATAACACTGACTTTATGACAAAATCAGTGTTGTCGAGTTTTCAAATGAGTAAATAAAAATCTTTCAATAAAAAGATAAAATACATTTTAGATAATGTGAGAAGAATCTGTGGATTAGTATAGTAACCATTTCTTTCTGTTTTCCTAACAGTCTATTAAACAAAAGCAATAAAAATATTAACTAGGTAGAAATCAAAACCATTCATTCATACATTGAATAAAGTTGTAAAGTATAGCCCCTAAAGTTCAAGAAAATTTCCTCTCCATTGGATTTGTTTTTACTTTCAAGTGACAAAAATGTTTATAAGAGTTCAATTTCAATATTTATATCAATACCTGGCATGTTTCCAATGAGTTAAACAATATGACTCTAAAAGAGCTCTGTAAACTGCAAAACAAAATAATATTACTACACACTACACCCAATGGAGAAATTATCCAAATCTTACACTTAAATATGACACTTTTACATTGGATTAAAAATTCAGTACCAATCACCCTTTAGAGATTTATTCCATACCCAGGAAAAAGAAAGCCACACATACTTACTTTGTGACAGCAACACTAATGAGAGAAGTTGTTGGAGCTCCTTTCCTTGAGAGAGTAAAAAAAAAAAAAGCAACTTAATTTGGTGGCTCTCATAAATACCTTTTATTATCAAGCAGAAGCAAACATCTTTATGAGAAAAACTTCTAATTAGACAACAGATCCTAGTAACTGAAATAGGAATCTATGCTTCAGCTTGGTGTCTCTGGGACCTAACAGACTACAAAACTTTCTTAAATATAAAAATGGCAAAAAGCAATTTTGAACCTGCTTGCTGCTGCACTGATAGGAACTGTTACATTAATCTCCGCCAATTATGGGAACTGAGTGAAACGGAAGTCAACATGAATTTTTGCTGGAAGGCACAGAGAGCTGAGGAAAACTATACAGCTAGACTTTTTGGATCAGAATGCAGAAAGTATGGGTCCCTTTAGCAATATGGTGCCAAATCACTAACCCTCCCAACTCTGCCTTGCTTTTGTAGACGGTCGTAGCGGATACTCGATAGAAGACATTAAGATCTGCACATAATTAGTGGGACAGATGCACAATGGGCAAAGACAACTCTTCTGGCTTTCCTGATCTAACTTCTTCCACTGAACAGGAAAACTAAAAATGAGCAAGTGCTTCGTCATCTCTAAGATGCTTGCATTTTCCTGGCAACTTCTACTAGCAAATATTTTATAAAGACATAAAATTTAATGCACCAATGAGAACATAGGCCAAGTGCCTCTGAATCATTTGGGAATTCACTCTCAAATTTTTATTAATGAAAAAAAAAAAGAGTCAAACTTTTAAAAAGAAAGTTGTGACTTATCAAACATTTTTTTCCCCCTCCTACTTGTTTACTTAGTTTTCTGTTTGGGGAGAATAGTACAACACAGAATATATCT